CCCCAAAACCCCAAAACCCCAAAACCCCAAAACCCCAAATTTTCTAATTCCTGCTGAATAAAATAATAGTTTTAAGAAAATGGAATTAGGCTATGACAAAATTCAGAATGATTGAGGTAAGAAGAGTCATAAAGCCAACTGGATAAACATAAGATTGATTTTAATTTGCTTTGAAAGAGTCTGATCAGAAATAATTACCAGTGGTTTAATCTTAATGAACTCAATCAAGCTCTGTTGTATTAGAAGTGTTTGGGAAGTAAAGATCTCTTCCACAACTTGTGTTCCTCCATTTTCTATCATTCCTCTGCACCGGGATTTAAACATGCAATCTAGCTAAGAGAGATACAGAGTACCTGATTCGTGAGAACATTATCTTAAAATAAGGAAATCTCTGTTTTAACAGAGCAGTTGATTGATAAAAATAAAGCTATTGATGAGACTATTTTAAAGGTAATTCAGCTACAGAGAGACCGAATTCGAAACCTTGAGAATGAGTACGATGACTTGTATGATAAATATGAGCAAGAAATGCGAAAAGGGTAGGATTTAGCTTGGATTTGGAGATTATATTTGTGTTAAAAGTTACTGTAATTATTTCTGTCAAGACAAGCATGAGGTGTATACAAGTTGTGGCCATTTTATTACTTAATTTGTGAGCACTATACTCAGGAGATTTCTATGGAACCCTAAATGTTTTTGCAAACCTCTTATAATTGCTACATATATTCCTTAATCAAGATGATCAGCTCTTACTTACACCACAGCATTGCTCAGCATAATGGCTCTAAGAGCAAGATTGAGACCTAATATAAATATCAAATGTATTAGTGTTTTCTATGATGCCAATCTTGCCATTGTAAAATCTATTGATTCTAAAATCATCTAAATTATTCATAGATCAAAACAAATATCTGTAGCTGACATCATCGACCAGAAGGTAAGCATCAAACAAGTATTTTTAGGTTCAAAAAGAAACCGAAGAAATTATGTCAAAAACTACGAATGAAGGGCTTCAAGAAGTGATTAAAGAATATGCTAAGCAAATTTCTACGTTGAAGGCAAAAATTACTGAACAAGGAGCCCAAATTTTGTTGGGCAAGGATGACTCCTCTTCGCAAAAACCCTATGGATACGATAAGAAAGCTCCAAAGATGGGTGTCATAAAGAGGCCGAGTTTGAATCCTAAGCATCTCGCTCCTATACGGGATTCCAGAAGTCTCTCTCGTGACTCTCATTACGAAGCAAATCAAACTTTTGACAACGCTGATAAAAGTATGAATGGTTAGTAATTATTTGTCTAGGTCCAATCTGGAGTAGGAATCAATTTAATGATAATAACCCTTACAATAATATCCATATGACCCCTCAGCTAGGGACAAATAAAGAGAGAAAGATGGGGCATCCAAGTTCAATGAAGCTGACAAGTGCTATGAAAAGGCCTTCAGCCGCAAACAAGAATGTCTATAACGGTAGGAGTATGTACCGAAAGTTTTAACCAATCTTCTAAATCAATAGTAGTAGGCCGTTTCGGGGTTTTGGGGTTTTGGGGTTTTGGGGTTTTGGGG